GTTCTTCAAAATATATACTGCAACAGTCACAACTGAGAAATGACTCCACCGTAATGCAGGCAAATAGATGTATCTTGTTTAGAAAAATGGTATTTCAAAATTCAATATAACAGACTAAATTTCAAAAAACGCATGGTGCTATACAAGGCCATGAAGTAAAAAAGAGCAACAATTTGTGTAAAATATCAGCACACAAGAGAAAGAAAGTTGACCTGAACCCAGCAGAAATCAGTCTCAGATAGTCATTAACTAAATCCTCATGTCATCAACAAGTATAGGTCCAAATTATGCATCATATTCAGATTTCTGTCATCTCATCATATGAGTGCATTTGTCATATTCAGATCTCCATCATCTCATATGAGTACAGTAACCAAACCAGCAGCACTAAAGATGAAAAACAAGTTTACAAAAACAACAATGTAATCGTAGACGATCCTTCAACTATGTCTTCATTTCACTTACCATCCAGTGCTATAATCTAAGAAAGTTACAGCCGCATCTGTCTACAGCATTAAAATAAATCTTGATCCACCTAGAAAAGAACCTTAACAAGCTAACACTTTTAGCCACCAGAAGTGTTTAACAAGATAAGATCGAATTACTCTTTGGTTGATGCTCCAGCAGGAGAAAATAAAAAGCTCTTATCAATTCAGTCTCTGATCGTTAACAACGCAACGTATTCCTATGAGGAAGCAGTAAGGCAGACATAGATGCAGTTCACAATCTGGGATCTTTGAAACGAGAAACATTAGAACTCAGGAATCAAGAAGGCCAGGTGAATATTTTCTTAGCTTCTCATAATAGCATGCGACGTCACCTATAAGAATAAGGGGAGCGGCTGCGATCCCTTCTGCTTCTCCGGCTGCTGTATCTAGGAGAAGGAGACCGTCTTCTCCTATAAGAAGGGGACCGGGAGACCGTCCGAGGCATCTCTCGCCGGGCCAGAAGATCGACCACTCAAGCTAGCGAAGAAAAGATCCAAATTGTAACAAATCGAACAACGAAAACAAGTCCTCTTCCTCGTCTCAGGATTTCCTACACGATCAAAGCGACAAAAACAAGAGATTAAAAAAACAAGAGATAATGAACGATTAAACCCTTGGCATGAAAGAAAACAAAACAAACATATCTTTTTACCAAGAATAGGCCTCGGGCTCTCGAGATTTCGTCGAATAACCGGAAGAAAAGACCTGAACGAAGAAAGAAGAGCATCATCAGCGTCCCAAAAAAGGGGACATCAAAGAGGAGAGAAAGAGGGAAAACAGAAGCGATCGGGGTAGGGTGGAGAAGGGATTACCACGGCAAGACGAGGCGATATGACGGGCAACAGAGTGAAGGGAGATCGCCGCTCTCCCGGAGGGCGATTGGGTTGGTGTCCGATAAGGGTACAAGTGGGGCGGAGAAACAAACTTATAATGCGATGAGTTGGGATAGGGTCCGGCACGGTGATGACTCCGAGTTCACTCGCCATGCGGACTGAGTCACCGAGTTCAACATTGACTTTGGTTGCGTCATTAAAAGGGTATATATATATATATATATATATATATATATATATATATATATATATAGGATATACTCAAACCTAGTTGATGCACTTGACACGAAGATCCACACCATAGATCAAGCGATGCACGTCTCTTAAGGAACGCAGATTTTAAAGCACGGCCCAGAATTTTAATTATATGACTTATTTAAATTATATATTTTTGTACACCGTTGATCAAGATACTGCACATTTTTTAATGAAGACGCATCTTAATGGACGGTCCGTTATTTGAATCGTGGAGTTCTTTCGGTGCTTGTGAGGAATTGACATCAGGATCACACTGAGCACGAAACTTAAGGTAAATATATGGTCCAAAGTTTCAATCACATACTTAATCGAAATATATTTTTGAATTAGAATTAGGAGTTAATATCAAGATCCATACGGTTGATTAAGAGATTGCACCTTTTTAAGTAAGAGATTATAAGTAAGATCTAATGAGATAATTGACACGCTAATTTATCCAAGTCTAAATCATTAAATTAAAATCTATAATCCCTTTGGTCACTTTAAATCTTAATTCATTATTTCACATTTATTAATCGACAAGACTTATGTTATATGACATTTCATCTTCATTGTTTCTGGACTATACTCCACAACCTCGTCAACTTCCTGTTTCATTGATATTGCAAATTACAATATCAATTTTGGACGATGAATATATTTTTTGGACAATTCACTTTTTAATTTCCATAAGAGTTGCATGTATTTGGTCAAAATTATACATATGGTCTTGTAATTCCTATGCAATATAGAATGTCATGTCAGTATACATGTTCAATTTTGTAGAAAATATGATTCTCCAAAAAATTTTGATACTTTGAAATTATTAAAGATTATTAAGGTTTTGGCCATGTAAAGAGTATTTCTATAATGTGTATTATACTTTTGTAATGTGTATTCTATTATGTAAACATATTGTCCCAATGTCTTTTTTTTAAGAAAATGTTTGCATATGACTTAGATGGATATATGTCATTAGTTTTCTATTTTAGAAATTTATTTGATTTTTTATAAAATATTTAACTTATGAATAGTGTGTTATATTTTTTATTTTCACATAAATATCATGAATCTATGTATTGTTTTTTTGACATTTGAGCTTCCAAATTTGTCCAAAACACCTGATAAAAATTATGGTCAAAGAAAATAATTCCTATTTAATTAAAATGATCAGTCCACGTGACTTCAAATTTTTTAGAAAGTAATTTAATTAGACCCAAATGGACATATATGACTGGTTTTCTTTTTTAAAAATTTATTTGATATTTAATTAATTATTGAGCCTGTGAATTATGTGTCCTTTTTTTATTTTTGGTCATTCTTTTATTTTTCACATAAATATCATGAATCTATGAAATGTTTCTTTTTTTCTTGACATTTGAGGTTCTAAATTGATACAAAACACCTAGTAAAAATTTGGAAGGGAGAAAATATTTTCTAATATGCAATGCACTATTTTTGTCCAAAATATAAAAAATAGTGTATCAGACTTTTCTAATTGATTTGATTTTTTTTTCTAAAAAAAATTGCATTAGACGCAGCTGACACACATCACTGGTTTTCTATTTTTAATTTTTTATGAATTATTTAAATTGTGAATTATGAATCATTTTTATTTTATCTATTTTTTTATTTTCACATAAATATTATAGATTCATGATATGTTTTTTGATGTTTGAGCTTCTAAATTGATCCAAAATATCCCATAAAAATTTGAGCTTGAGAACTCAACCCCAAAAATCAATCTCAAATTTATTGTATTATTTCAATATATAAAATAGTGCATGTGTTGTAAGACAGTGAATCTACTAAAACTTACAGTTTCAATATAACTTACATTAATTTTGTCTGATCGAATAGTTTAAACAAATGAAAGCAATTAAATTTCAAATGTATAAAAGTCATTGAAAGTTAGTTTTCACTAAGCCACTCCAAAATTATAATTCAATTTTTAATGAGCTGTTGCAACCAAAATGCCTATCTAAATATCATTACTGACACCTTGAATACATTTTTTTTTGTCATTATATATTGATTCATTTTTTTACCATTTTTTGCCCTTTTTTTCTATCAACCTACACCATGCTTCTCCAAGGCAATATAATAGGATCATATTCTTGTTGTATCTTATATTTTTTGTTTCTTCTAGAAAATATTTTATCATTTATATATATTCTTGTACGTATCAACTTTATAATAATCTTCATAAAAAAAAATGAATTACCATTCCTATACCCAATAGAAGCTATAGCATGAAAATATTAACTATCTTAAGACGACATAGTATTGACTTTTGCCCTTCGCTTTGATAAGTTGATCTTAGATGATACTTATCGAAATTCATTTTAAATTATTAATTATTTATGATGAGACTTCTAAGGCAAACTCCAAAAGTCGAAAATATTATTTGAAAATAATTTTACGATGAAAACGTTCTTTAGACATGAGTCTTCGTATAGTTTTAATTTCTTTAAAAATAAAATTATATTAGTGTACAAGTGATCAAAGCACTATCAATATTATTAAGTATAATCTCCGATGCTATGTAAGATAAGTCCTCTTGTATGAATTTTTTTAATATCAATAATAATTATCTTTGGAGTATAATCAACATTTGTTATAACTTGATGTTTAATTTGATCTACAACGAAAGAATGTAATTTGCTATATATGAAATTTGATAATTCGAAAACTAGATCGAAAATTTTACATTTTAAATTTATCTTATAACTTGTAGTTATAATATATTTAATATCAAATTTTTTTCGAATGACAAAGTCTTTAAAGGCTTTTTAAAATTTAATCATATCTCGAAACACCAAAGACATTAAAAATATAATAAAATAATTTTAATATTATTCATGACCATCTTTATCATAATAAAATGGGTAATTCAAGTTTTAAGAAAATAAATAGACTACTTGATGTCTAATTAATATTCATCCAAACTTGATGTCTCACCTAAAGTTTATTTATCAATATTATAAAAAAATAAAAAAAATCTCATAAAGAAAAACCATCTCAATTCTAATTGATCAATAGCACTTTACTGAATCGATGATCCAAAGGTCATTGTTTTTGGGTTAAAAGATAGTAACTTAATTGTCCAGAGATAAATCAGTAAAATAGCTTAATAATCTTGTTTGGATATTTTTTTCAAATAAAAAAAAATCAAAATTAAAATTTTTATTATTGCCATCATCAAATCATTCTCGGCCGTACATCTCAGATTTGCTGTCAGACTATCAAATATTTTATAGGGGAAAATTCCCTTCTTACCCCTCTGCGTATCACCAGACTCACCTACACGCCTTTTCGTTGGACGCCAGCCGCGTTGCCATAAGTGTGTCCCATAGGCGGGCCCGCTCTCTGCCTCCAATCACAGAGCGCTGCCCCCCCCTACCATTAATCCCCTAAGTCGATGGAATCGTGTGCTCCGAATTTTTTGACACGAGTCCCGCCCGATCGCAAACGGGTTTTTAGGGTTGCGCTCGGGATCGGATTCACTTCGACCTTCCCCACTGCAATCTCTCTTCCATCGTTGTTCTGCCTTTCGTTCTCCGCTCTCGTTCTGCCTTGCGACGGCGAGCGAGCCGGCAAGTGGGAGCGACCATGGAGGCAGACGTGGGGGCGGCGAAGACGAAGGAGGAGATCGAGGCGGAGATATCCCGAGCGATGCGCGCACGCGTTAGCGACTTCAAGGAGCGAGCCGAGTGAGACATCATCCCTCCCTTTTTCCTCTCCCCCCATCTTGATTTATCGTGCGGTCAGATCCTGAGTTTCGCTTTTTTTTTGCCTTTTTCTTCGCGCCTTTTGAGTATCCTAGAATTGGAGATATTACAAGAATTCATGGTTTACTCTATTATCGGGGAAGTTTTGTGGGGATTTTTTTGGTTTTATTTAGCGGGTGTGAAAATAAAGACGTGTTTCTTGTTCTCGAGGGATTGATTTTGTGTTAGATTTTGCGGCTCTTTTCGTTTTCAACTTGGGTTAGAGGGTTCAGAGTGGCGCGAGTCGGAGGTGAGCTTATTTTGGTTAGTGCGAATGGATTTTTTTTTTTACTCCTTTCTTTTAATTTTACTAGGTGAGGGAAGGGATCGGATTCTTTTTGCTTGGAGATAAGGGACTAGTTGCAGTGGAATTTTCCATGCAGAGGCAGTTTTAGATGCTACATATCGAAGTTGCTTATGCTTTCTGGAGCATTATGTCACCTGCTTAAAATGAGTGGTCCATTCTGACATTTGTTCTTGTGTTATATTACTTCGTAGTTGTTTGGTTGCTTTCTTTGCTTTATATTTTGAGTCTGCTAAATGGAACTTTTGGAGCTGGCCTTTTACCTCGATTCGGTTTGATTTACTTGATTATCTCTCTTCTCTTTCCTCGTTTTAACATCAGACTCAGTGAGACATTTGATTAAATCAGCTTATTCTCACAGGTATCTGTGAAATGAAATACTGAACATGGGTGAGAAAGTTGATGAACAAATCAACTGCAGAGTTAATTATATGGACAATCTTAAGTTAGACAATGAGGGAACTGTGACTAGGAAGATGAATAAATCAATGGTGTTTTTAAGAATCATGTACATGCGTACTCAAAATATTATTGGGCCTTCTCTGCTGCATTAGAAATTTCTCTGCTTAGTATCTGTTTCTCGGTTCAAGCATGACACACTTATGACATACATGTGGTAGCTTCAAGACTTCTTTAAGCTTCTAGATAAAGTGAAGTCGATATCTACAGATACAAGACTTGAGAAGGATTTACCAGATATTGTATCAAAGCTCACATCGAGTATATCACTAGATTCCCATATGTAAAGTCAATGCATATGACTTCCGACTTTCAGTTTGGAAAGTATTTCCTTATGTCTCTCGAACACGGACGGTGACAGGATGAACATCCTTTACCCATGGCATAATCAACCAGAAGCTGAACCAAGCTGGTAAACAGCATGATGGATAGCCTCCATGCTGTCATTGCCCAAGTAGGATTGCCCACAGTATAGCTCCTTTAGCTACATTTTTGCCTTTCCACTTGTTACATTTTTGCAATAAGATCATCCTTGGTCCAGGTGGCATCTTAGCATTTTTGATGCAAATGAAGCCAAAAGTCATAATATGGTATGCGAATCATGATGGTAATTATTTCAGACTACTCATTTTTGGACTTGATAATTCAAGAGTTTGTTACTTAACTATATAACAGCACAAGTCCCAAGGGGGCACTCTAGTAGCTTGTGGACATTAGCCTTTACCCCACCTTAATGGTGGGAGATCCGTGGAATTATCCATCCTTTTACCTCTATAAGGGGGCATTAATTTACAATTTATTTTTTGAAGAATGGTTCAAATATAGGTTGAAAATAAAGCTACACTTAAACACTTCCTTATTTTTGCTTGTCAGTGCAAGTTTGTGTTTTCTTCTTTTCTCTATCTTATCATTAGCAACCTAATCTCTGGAAAGATGCATTTAAACACCTTTTGTGGCTGCTTTTCGTTACAAGTTTCGTTTTTGTATCTTGTGATTAATAATCTATTGTGGCCATATGATTTTATTGGTATCAATATGTTCTTATTGATTTCTTAGCAAAGTTCAAACTTTAAAGTACCACCATATTCCGGATGTATTGTCTGATATATACCGACCAAGGGCTGGTATACTAAGTGCATGATACTGGTTAAGTTTCATATAAACTGAAGATTTAGTATTTTTTTGAGCATACTGAACAGTATCAGTATTGAATAACTTTCAGATAGGGTTTTGGTACATCTGCCAGACAAATATTTAACCTTGTTTGACTATACTATGATGTTTTGCAACAATTCTATCAAAGATATGTGGATATGTAAATTTAACCTATGTTACTTCTGGTTATGCTGCAGTTAATGTTATTATGATTCACTTGTACTCATGGGGTTTTGTCTTACTATTGCTTCCTTTTTATTAGTCGGTCTATTCATTGCTGTTTCTTTTCTATTGTAGATCGGGATACATATCAATAGTTTTTTAATTTCAGTGAAATGCTTCTGCTTATGCGGCATATAACTTATTTTCCGTATATGTGATTTATCCTGTTGAGACTGTTTTCAGTTGGTGGATGTTGTAAAGCTCCTGATATTTGTTTTTTGTTTCAGCACTTTGACACTTGAAGGTGTTCGAAGAGCACTAGAAAAGGACTTAGGGATGAATATGTTTTCATTGGATGCTTATAAGAGGTTTATTAAGCAATGTTTGGAAGAGGTATTGCTTTTACTTAAATGATGCTTCTATGATTTTTTATGTATGCTTTCACTTAAGAGGTATGCTTGAATTGGTATTCATGTTTTGTACACTCTTTTCACCCATGACTACTTTATGTAAGTTTAGATATCTTCTGCTTCTTGTTGATCCGGAGATGCGTTACCTTTCATTATCTTTTATTCAGTTGGATACATCCTAATTTGATAAATCATTTCATGAAGAGAAATCTGAACATAGTCATACTTAATGACTTTCTAATGTGTGAAGTGCCTTTGTATGTACACTATGGTAATATTTTGTGGTCATTTAGGTTCACTGAAAACTTGCTACAACTCAGTTGATTTACTATGTTGTGTAAAATCTGGGTTCACTGAGAACTTGTTCATTTACTATGTTGTACAACTCCAAATGCCTTACGTGAAAGCTTTTCTTTAGTATTACTCTCTTTTGTTTGATCTGCTCGTGAAAGTTAGGTTAGGAGAATTCACAGCAACAATGATCTATTAAAATCTAGGAATATATACCTATTTACTGATTCAATCATTAATTATGAAGGATCTACTATTTAGACTAGGTGTGTACATTATGATCCTTATGCTGATTAAAAGTTCTTATAAGAAGCATATATCCAAACTTTGGGTTTTAGTATGTGAGATGCTAGCAAGCTAAGTATAGCGTAGAGAATATGCTGGGCTTCGATCCCTCTACATAGACATCAAATCTGTGAAACTTTATCCACTTTTAGTAACACATTTGTTCTCTTGCTTTTACTACTAGAATATCTATTATCTTCAGGTAATTTTTTCTTGAAAGCATTACTTTATTCAGTGCTATAGATGATCTGAGTTGCTTGCAGTTAGCTTAGAATAAACCTCAATGTTGTAAGTTTAGACTCTATCAGGAATGAAGGTAAATCTGAGTCAAGATTTAAGGCTGGGCTGATAAATAAACTGTGGTTGAGGCAATTTTTTCCTGAAACAAAAATATTTTATTTAAACACGATAAAACAAGAACATAGAAGACTGTTGAAAAAATATTCCCAAGAGGAATAGCTCCCCAGTGATGGGAAACAACATGACTGCTAGTTGAGTTGACCAGAGAAGGGCCAGCTGATTAAACATTCCAGAGGCAATATTTGAATGTTAAAGATCTGTAACTTCTCGTACTGTTTGTCATAAAAAGCTTAAGTCACTTGGAATTCTGATTGGTGAAGGTCAAGTCTGATCATATATGGGGAGCTGTATATGATCTTCATCTGGGAATGATATCCCCTATTAAAATTGAGATGAGCTTTATAACACTAGCTTACAACATCAATGCCATATGCCCAATTTGTGCCAGTTGGCTTTTCTCCCCATGTAACTGTCAATGTCAGCTGTTGTGAAGTGGAAATGAAATATTTAATATGGATAAGAAGAAAGATGTTTCTCAACATTCCAGACTTTAGCATTGATTGGGTGAACATTTTATCTTATAGAAAGTTTATATCCACTTCTTATGCTTTAAATGAATGCTTCTAAACTTTTGCTTTTCAAAGATTGCATTGGTTAGGTTCTTTGCATGATTGAGAATTAAGATTGTGAAGAGTTGGTATGCTGTAGGAAGAAGACTGAAATATGGTGTTTAGTCATCGAAATCCTAATGGATATTATGCTATGCAGATAACTTTGCACAAGTGAGGCATATGACCATCCTGGGAACACTGATGTAGGCTAGTTTTTTCCCCTTTTCTTTTATATTGCTGGTATGTTATGTGTTTGTTGCAAGGGCTTCTTTTTTCCTAACTGTTTACAGTTGGAAAGCTCTGGTTTGATGAGGGGAGAATATCAAGGTTTCAAAGTGATTCATAAATTTACTTTAGATTATGCATGAAGCTTTAGATGTTGAAAGATCCAATATTTGCAAAACTTAACCAAGGATTTATTGGAGGCTCAGAAGCCTGGAGTCTTTGAAGCTCAAGAACTAACTGACATCAGTGCAATTAGATCTTTTAGATGTTCCAAGTAGAGAGATATGTGGAATTTAGTTTGTCCTGTGTCATTTTATATATTCCATAATGTTTTTTGGAATACAATGGGTGCCCAGATTTTTATACTTTAGATTTAGAAGGTTGATAAAGGTTATAAGCATGCCAATTTGGTTGAACTTTTACCTGGGGTATTTTAGCTGCTTTTTCACTGTCCTTTTCTTATAGCTCTGGATCCTACATGGAAAATATTTCATAATTTGTGCTTTAGAAAATCATACTGGGAATTTTTTGTTGGTCTGGGCGTGGATCTTGTAAATAGAGATGAGGAAATATAAAGTGAAGCAATGCTGATGAAGGGAGGATATCTGTTGAACTTCATCAGAGGACTAACATATTCTTTTCAGCATTTTTTTTGTTCATTTCTTTTATTTGAAGGAATCTCCGCAATTCAGAGCTGAGATAATGATACTTTACAATAAAAATTCATAGATAAACTTTGGTAAACAACCTACAGACAGCTCCAATGCATATTTCTCGCAATAATATGAACTGTCCTGTGCTGGGCCTTTTCTTTTGTTAATAAATGGTTGAGGAATAAATTCTGTCATGTTTTGTCCTCTTTCTTGGTACTTTTCTCTACGGTCATGCAACTGAGATATTGATAGAAGCTATTTTTCCTTTATATTGTTTTACATTAAAGGCCACCTTTATTTTTTCTTATATACCTATCTTGAATTATGCTTGATTACTCTAATTTGATTGGAGCTAGTGCTTTTATGGTGCTGACGATGAGAATGTCCCCAAACTCTCGGGAGTGAGTTCTTCTCAGTCGGCAAAAGAAGAAAAGTCAAGACAGGCTGAAGACTATCAGCAATCAGCTGATTTTAGAAAGAGTAATTCTGATGAAATAGAAGGTTCTCCAGCATCAGGTGGAAAGTCAGCTTCAAATGATGAGCCTGTAAACAATCAAGGTCCTCAAGATGATAGTGATATAAATGAAGACAAAATAAGGAAAGCAATAGAAAGTAGAGCTGACTATTTTAGAGCAAATTCTGCGTAAGTAAAATGAAATCATTCTCTGCTTTTTTCACTCCATTCAATAGTCATTGGGAATACTGACATCTTTGCCTTGTAATATCTTTTGCATTACAAAACACTGTAATGTAGCTTCTTCTAGTTAACTGCTAAAGTTTGGGGTTTTATCATGCTTTTTATGTGCTCCAGTTGATGAGGCTTTCCTGTTATGGATGATTTAGGTCTATTTCTTTAGCAGAAGTTCGCCGACTGTTGGAAGAAGATCTTAAACTTGAGAAGAAAGCATTGGATGCCTATAAAAGTTTTGTCACTGAAGAGTTAGATAAGGTTAGTTCCTAGTTGACAATTTGTTAGTTCTGAGTATTTAAGCTTTGTAGGATATCTACTGAAAGCATTAGTGCTTAAAACATAATTCATAGACGGTCTTTCATTTATCAGGTCTTACAGATACCTGAAGTTGTCAAAGCATCAAATGGAGTTAAGAAGCAGCTTAAAAAAGTTTCTCAAAATGTGGATGTGAAAAAACCTGGAAAAAACACTAAAAGGGCTCGTAAGGAGTCAGAATCTTCAGACACCAACGATTCCGTTACTGAGGATGAGGAAGTTGATGAAGATATAAGGCCAAAAAAAAAGACAAATGAAAAAACTAAATCAGTTGCAAGAGCACCAAAAAGGCAGAAAAAGTCTCAAGATAAAAATGAGTCATCTAGTTCTAGTGAAAAAAAGATGGTGGAGCAAGCTTCAGAGAACACTTCTGAAGATGATGGTGGCAATTCCTCTGCAGATAGTCCTCATTCATCCAAAGGAGATGTCAAGGTTTTGTTACATAATGTTTCATCACAGTCTTTTCTGGTTTAATCATCAGAGTTATTATGGTGATTTGATTTGATTTCATGAACTGCAGAAGAAACAAGAGAAGCCAACTCAGGTATATGGTAAACGAGTAGAGCACCTAAAGTCAATAATTAAGTCCTGTGGAATGGGGTATATCATTTGTCTTTTTTCTTTGACCAGATTTTTTTATTGTCCATACTGTTCTAGTGATTATTTTTATCTTTTTTGTTTTCCAGTGTCCCTCCATCTGTTTATAAGAGGGCTAAACAGGTGGCTGAAAGCAAACGTGAAGCTTATTTGATAAAGGAGTTGGAGGGAATTCTTAAAAAGGAAGGATTATCAACTAATCCTTCTGAAAAACGTACAATATTGGCTTATTTTTAGATTCATTTTATGCCTATAGTTTTATGATCTCCTTTTTTAGCATGATATGTATACTAATCAGATATGTGACAGTACCTGGTTATAGCTTTTAGGAGCTAGATACTTAAGTTAGAATATTCTTGTTGCAGGGCCTGATTGGTACATCATGATGTAGTTTATTTTGTGTAAAGTTAGTTATGACATCTGTTTTTATGATGGTCAAGTGAAGGTTGGAGTTGTGGATGGAAATCTCAGTCCAGTGCTGATATCAGTCAGCAATTAGACTGGTACAGTACTGGTACAAATTAATACATTGACACTCAGTACAGGCTGGTATTGCTTGGACTATTGAGAAAGTGGGAGAAAAAAGGGAGGTGGTGGATCAGAAGGAAGAAGAGGAGGCAGTGGAAGAGGAAACACAGTGCCTGAGGCTTCTGCCATCGTAGACTAGGATCATATGAAATTGGAATTCTATGACAAGTATATCACAACAGACTTTATGAGTATCACAAACTGATTACTACTAGTAGCCTTGTATTATCCAAGGTTCGCAATTTCGTATCGTACCGGAGTTTCGACGTTAGCTCGGTACGGTACGATATTGTATATCGAGCGGTATACCGAACGGTATACCGTTTAGTATATATATATATATATATATATATATATATATATTATAAAAGGTGATGTCGCATTGCCTCGACGACGTTGCCTTTTCCTTCTCCCACGTGGGGCGATGTCGCCGAAAAAGACGATGCGAAGTTGCCTTATATATATATATATATATATATATCGTTTCATCCGGTAACGGGCAGTCCATATACCAGTCAGCTGACGGACAGGTATGTACCGCCTGTACCGGGTGGTATTATTTGAAATTGTATACCTTAGTATTATCCGTTTCGATTTTTTTCTACAAAAAAATCAATATGCTACCAATAATCTTGGATTAGCTATAATTATAATATATGTTGAGGATATCAATGAAGAGATTAATGGGGATCATCTTACATGTTTTGGTGCGCAAGAACACGAGGTTGATAGTGGTACTACGTTGTCTGAGGCCAAGTGCTCGGTAGTTGAAATTTGATCTCCATCTTTGTTGGAAATCCTAAACCGAGGAAGATTTGAGGAGAGTCTCAATTATTTAGGATTTGGTTTATTTCAGTTTAGCTGTAATTTAAAAACTTCTATATTTCTATTTTTTGTGTTCATACATGAAAGTTAGCCAAATTTGTCAGATGGTCAGTCTTTCCGGAAAGGATGCTTTTAGTAGAACCAAGAATGGAAAGATTCCTTAGCCAAATTAACCTGTCATAGAGTTCTTTTCCATGTCCTGTTTAAGCAGGCTTTTTCTCTTTTTGTACGATGAGTCATTTCTGGATGAGTCCTCTTTGTTTTTTTAAATCTCCGCTTTAAGCATTGACAAAATCATCTGAGAACAGTAAAAATGTCAACTTAATTAGAGCCTGACATCAGACCAGCCTAGTTAACCATGGTTTATCCCAGTGATTTAAAAAGACACTCGGGCGCTCGCCTAGGCGCTCGGGCGAGGCGAGGCGAGGCCCGAGCGCCTCGCTAATCTCCCAAGCGGCGCGCTTCAAACAGGCGCCGGCTGGGCGCTCCTCCGAGCCCAGGCGTTGGGCGCTTCGGGCGAGCGCCTGGGTTAACCAAGGCGACCAAACCAGGATTTTAGGTCTGGTTCGGTCCTGGTTCGGTCTCTGATAGTTAGTTGGTTCAATCGAACCAACTAAAATCGGTATAAGTGAGAACCCAACCCTAACCCTCGCCGCTGCCGCTGTCGCTCCCGATCCCGATCTCGCTGCTCGCAAACGCTTCCGTTGTCGCCGCTCGCGGCTGTCGCTGCTCGCAAACGCTGCCTCTGTCGTCGCTTGTGCCTCCCGCTGCTCGCCGCTCCTGCTGCCGCTGCTCGCCGCTGTCGCTGCTCAC